TGGCTCTGGCACTATTTTTTCATGGGATTGGGGCTTGCTAATGCGTGATGTGCTGAATGTGGCTTCCTGGCGTATTTTTGTTGCTGTATGTGGCTTACTGGCATGCGGGCATTCAGCAGCTGGCCTACACGATCGAGCTTTCGGTGCCTGTCGTGAAGCGTGGGTGCACCCTGCTTACCTTTTGAGGTTCGCTGCACGCCGCTGCCTCTTCATCTGCGCCTCTGGGATGTGGTGGTAGTCAGTCGGCGGAGGGCTTGCCGTACACTTGGATGGTTCTCTACCTGGTCTTCGGCATGCCCTTCTTCGAATTCTTCAGGGGCGTGGCGATGCTGTTAAAAAGAGGAGCAGGGTGTTCCTTGGCAGAGGTCTCCACTATACATTCCCTCCCTCCTCGCACTCGCACAGGGCCGGGGGAGACCGGCGGGGACGAGCGAGGTCGATCTCAAGAGAGGGGGGGCAACAGGGAGGAGGGGGGGGGCGGCGCGCAGGAGGAGGAGGAGGAGGAGGAGGAGAATATTGGCCTTGCTCGAGAGGATTCAGGGAGAGGAAAATGTCGGTGTTAGATGGACGAGGAGGTAGGAGGAGGGGAGGAGCGGTTGTTTTCTTGGCTATAGGGCTCCCACTATACTTCCTTCCCTCCTCGACTCGCATTCGCAAGGGCCGCCCCGAATCTGGCGGGGCGAGCGAAGTTCTCTCAAGAGAGGGGCAACAGGGGGGTAGGCGCTGGGGGGGCTGCGTCTTGGTATGGTATGGATTAGGAGAAGGAGGAGGAGGAGGAGGAGGAGGAGGAGGAGGAGGAGATAAACGAGGAGGGGATGGAGGATGAGGAGGGGGAGGAGGAGGAGGAGAAGATGGAGGAGCAGGCTGTTTCTTGACATAGGTCTCCACTATACATCCCCTCCCTCCTCGCGGTCGCAAAGGGCCTGCGGAGACCGGCGGGGGCGAGCGAGGTCGATCCCAAAAGAGGGGGCAACAAGGGGGAGGGGGGGCGGCGCGCAGGAGGAGGAGGAAGAGGAGGAGGAGGATTCAGGAGGTGGAGGATGAGGAGGAGAAGGAGCAAGAGTAGGAGGAGGATGAGGAGGAGGAGGAAGAGGACTGCGCACTGCTCCTGCCATGTACTGTCTACCCCTTGACACACCTCCTAACAGGGGAGGTGTCGACCCCTATCCCAAGCTTCGTGGGGCCTTCGAATGATCCAAACATTTTGGGCCTAACCCTGGGATGTTCGATGGGGGGTCGTCCATTCTCGATGGGGGTGCGTCCAACTAGCCCCCTTGGGGTGTATTCCAGGATCCCCCCTGTTTTCTGAACGGCCAAACTTTTCGGGCGGAACACGGGGACCGGGGGAGAAAACTCGTCTGCGACGCCCCTCTCCCCCGTTGCTCTTAGGTCGGGCATGCCCACCTGCAGGCGGATTTTTTTCTTACGAAAAATCAAACATATTCAAAACAAACTCAAAAGTAGTCAAACGAATATTACAAAAATCGTCCCCATACTATTTTTAAAATCAGTTTTGAATACTCCTCCCGTAGAGGGACAGGCCCGACTTAACGCTGCTCCTCCCGCGGCTGCCCGTCGACTCCCCCCCCCCCACCTCTTGGGCGGCTCCAGCATCCCCACGCCGCGTGCTCTCTGGGCCCGCCTGCGCGCCTCGCTCCGCCCGCCCTCTGCGTCGCCGCGCCGCTGCGCGCGGGCAATCGCGACACCAACAGTTGTGTGTGTGCGTGTGCGTGTGCGTGTGCGTGTGTGTGTGTGTGTGTGAGTGTGTGGTGTGTGCGTGTGTGTGTGTGTGTGTGTGTGTGTGTGTGTGTGTGTGTGTGTGTGTGTGTGTGTGTGTGTGTGTGTGCGCGGCGTGTGTGTATGGTGTGTGTGTGTGTGTGCAAGTGTGTGTGTGTGTGTGCGTGTGCGTGTGTGTGTGTGTGTGTGTGTGCGTGTGAGTGTGTGTGTGTGTGTGTGTTGTGTGTGTGTTTGTGTGTGTGCGCGCGTGCGTGCGTGCGTGTGTGCGTGCGTGCGTGCGTGTGCGCGCGTGTTACTCGCCAGCGCAGTCCCTCTGCTCAGCCGCCGACGCAGAACAAATGCGCGTGTGGCTGTGTGTGTGTTTTGGTGCGCCCGCGCATGCGCGCTCCCGAGGTCGCCCCCCCGCCCCCCCGAGGTCCTCCTCTCGGCGGCTGCTCCCTCGTCCGCACCCCCCCCCCCTCTCGGCTTCCCCCCCCCCCCTCCTCTCGACCGCCTCCCCGAAGGACGCCCGCACAGAATGGTGCCCTGTGGCTGACCCCCCGTGAGACTCGCCGGGTTGCGTGCGACGGCGGCCGCTTCGGTGGCCCTCGGCAGCGCTTCGGGCGCCTCTTTGACCTCCGCCGCGTCGCTGCGCGCGTGGCCGCGACGCCGAGGAGCGTCCGATGGCGAGCCCGTGGCGGAAGTGAGGAGGGGCGGGCGCCTCCCCAGAAGGCTCGGAAGTGCCCAAGCCTTCTGAGAAACTTTTGAACCCTTCCCCGAAGACACGGAACACCCCTCAGATGGCCAGAGGCCTTCTGGGAAGCCCCACCGCCTTCCCAGACGGCCTTCTGCATATGACGTCCCCCCCTCGCTCGCAGCCGATGTGTGTCTTGGAAGCCTGGTCTCAGTCTTGGCCTGGTCCTCGCTCGGCCCCTCCCCGCTGGAGCTCGTGGCCCTAGCTGCGGCCTTGGCAACGCCCCCTCCTGACTCGACGCTTTCGGGCGGCGCGGCCCGCGTGTAATCGACCACATCGGCGCAGGAGAAGGAGGAGGAGGAGGAGGCGGAGGAGGAGGAGGAGGAGGAGGAGGAGAAGAAGGAGGAGGAGGAAGACGATGAGAAGGAGGAGGAGGATGAGGAGGAGGAGAGGGAGGAGATGGAGGAGGAGGGAGGAGGAGGAGGAGGAGGAGGCGAAGTGAGGGAAGAGACGAGCCTAGGAGGTATGAGCGTGAGGAGGAAGGAGGAGGAGGAGAGGAGACAGGAGAGGAGACAGGCAGGAGGAGAGGGAGGAGGAGGAGGAGGAGGAGGAGGAGGGAGGCCGAGAGAAAGGAGGATGAGGAGGAGAGGGAGCGGAGAAGGAGGATGAGGAGGAGGAGGAATGGATGAGGAGGAGGAGGAGGAGGAGAGGGGAGAGTGAGGAGGAGGAGGAGGAGGATACGGCAGAGGAGGAGAGGGATGAGTGATGATGATGATGATGATGATGATGATGATGATGATGATGATGATGAGATGATGATGATGATGATGATGATGATGAATGATGTGATGGATGATGAATTGATCGTGGATGATGAGAGGAGGAGGAGGAAGGAGGAGGGAGGAGTGAGGAGGGGATACGGGAGGAGGAGAGGGAGGAGGAGGAGGAGGAGAAGGAGGAGGAGAAGGAGGAGGAGAGCGGACGGGGAGAAGGAGGACGGAGGAGATGACGAGCTGAGGAGGAGCAGGAGGAGGAGGAGGATGGAGATCAGGAGGGATGACACGGAGGAGGAGAAGGGAGGGAGAGGAGGAGGAGGAGGAGGAGGAGGAGGAGCAGGACGAGGGAGGAGAGGAGGATAGTTAGAGGAGGGGGGGAGAAGGAGGAATGAGGAGGAGGAGGTATGAGGAGGAGAGGAGGAGGAGGAGGAGGAGGAGGAGGGGGGGAGGAGGAGTAGTGGAGGAGAAGCGAGAGGATGAAGGAGTGGCAGGAGAGGGACGGGGAGACAGTGAGAGGAGTAGGAGGAGGAGGAGGAGGAGGAGGAGGATACAGGAGGAGGAGACTAGGGAGGGGGAGGAGGAGGAGGCGAATGAAGGAGGAGGAGGAGGAGGACATGGAGGAGGAGTCGGAGGAGGAGGAGGAGAAAAACGAAAAGGAGGAGGAGGAGGACGAGGAGGAGGGGAGGAAGTCAAGGAGGAAGAGGAAGAGGGGAAGGATGAGGAGTGGGAGGAGGAGGAGGACGAGGAGGAGGAGGAGGAGGACGAGGACGAGGAGGATGAGGAGGATGAGGAGGAGGAGGAGGAGGAGGAGGGTAGGAGGGCGGGGATGCTGATGCTGATGCTGATGCTGACGCTGATGTTGATGATGATGATGCTGACGAATATGCTGATGCTGATGATGCGGATGTCCACGCCGATTAGCATGATGATGCTACTGGTGATGCTGATGATGGTGATGATGATGCTGATGCTGATGCTGATGCTGCTGATGATGATGCTGATGCTGATGCTGATGCTGGTGCTGCTGATGATGCTGATGATGACGATGCTGATGCTGCTGATGATGCTGATGATGATGATGCTGTTGATGATGATGCTGCTGATGATGATGCTGATGATGAGGATGCTGATGCGGAATGATTGATGAGGATGAGGAGGAGGATGATGCTGCTGATGATGATGATGATGATGATGATGATGATGCTGATGATGAGAGGATGAGGATGAGGCAGGAGAATGAGGATGTAGGATGATGATCGAGGATGATGATGATGATGATGCTGTGATGATGCGGAGGATGATGAGATGATGATGATGCCCCCACTGATGATGATTGATGATGATGATGATGATGAGAAGGAGGCGGAGGCAAGGAGGAGGAGAGAGGAGAGGAGCAGGAGCAGGAGCAGGAGGAGCAGGCGGAATCCGGGGAGGGGAACGAGGAGGGGTGGAGGAGGAGGAGGGGGAAAAGAGGGGGACGGATGGGGAGGAGCGCGGTAGACGGAGGGAATTACGGGCACCCAGGGCGGGCCTGAGGGGGGAGGAGACAGGGGCCGGGGCACAGTGTTCCTCCGACCCCTCCTCGAGGGAGGGGTGGGGCTGGGAGGCCAGGGCGGAGGCAGGATCGGGCGCCATCGGTCGCGAATCGGGTGCGAGGAGGCGAGGTCACGAGGGGGCGGAGGCTTCGACGGGGGAGGAGCAGGAGAGCTGGGAGAGAGAGGAGCGGGAGGCGCGGCAACGGGTCTGATGGCCCAGGCGCTGAGTATGTGCACCCCGCAGCTGCATAGCACGCAAAACCCGCCTTCAGATTCAAATTATCGCACGTAGCTCACCACCTCCCAAGCCGCATGCACACATACAGCATGACTACAAGCAACGAGGCAACGGGAGAAACCCGGCAAGCGAGAGAAAGAACGAGGGGGGAGAAAGAGGGAGAGAAAGAGAGAGCGAGAGAGAGAGAGAGAGTGAAAGAGAGAGAGAGAGAGAGAAACAAAGATAGAGAGAGAGAGAGGCAGACGGTAGAAGCTGGGCATCATGGATCATGCCATACAAGCGGTACCTGCAATCCTATCTTACGCATACAGCATAATAGAGCAAGTCGGCGATGGTGTAGCTCCAGCTTGGCCAATGCAGTCTGTCGACGACAGCATGGGCAGGCAAAGCACATATTCGGCGTATGCAGGCGTCGCAGGTGTCTGCCCGGCGTATGTCGCCCTCGCATGCACGAGACATATTCTCCCTCGGACAGGTCCCACCACTGGAACCGGATCGTGATCCCAGGAGCGCGGGGTGGTGGTGAATCAAAGAGCTGGACCAGTGGTACGTAACGAACGATCGCTTGTACTGGGACTTCAGCACGAGATCATTCAAGAATCCCGAATATGTCCCAAACGATATCGCAAACTCAACCAGATAGACGCGAGAGGCCCACAGAAGGCATCCCTGCGGGTCTTCGGCCAGTCTGAAATAAAGCGCCCAAATTGCTGCAAACGCCAGAAATCGCAAGCATTGCCGATTGTTCAGGCGTCTGTGGAATGCTCTGGGGAGAGTGCCAAGAGATGTGTTGCTGCACAGCGGTCCATACCAACCTCCCAGCAAGCTTCGCGTAGCGCACGCGACGTGCTAGGAATATTGCTTGGCATCAAAGGCTGCCATAAAGTGTTTCAATTCGTTGCCAGGTCGGGCATGTTGAATGGCAACGCTGTGGTACTAGGAATGATTTTTTGGTACGGACGAGGATTCGTCCAATGGGCCATTTCCCGCAATGGAAAACATCAGTGTGGGGGCCTCTTGATCGGGAACTTGGCGGAAAGAGGGTGAATAGCAACACCGCTGGTGCGTATTTTGAGGCGTCCCAAATGGGGTTGGAGTAGATGGGGTCGGGGGATTTCGCCGCATCGCCGATACATCGGGGATGCTCTGGCGGCTTTGCCGGTGCATCGACGACGTCGACGCAAAGCAAACCGGGCCCCACATCGAGCCGCATCGTCGATGCATCGGCGATGCGGCACGATCCTCCGACCCCATCCACTCCGACCCCACCTACAGTCGGGCTGCTGAAAGAAGGAACACTAAATAAGGAACGAAGCCCCTTCTTGGCCCTGTAAGCGCCTCCGTGCCCCAGGAGGGCAAGAGGAACAGCACTGGAGAAACCTAAGGAACGTCGAGCCCCTTCCGTCTTGACTCTAGGAGGCCTAGAGCATTTGGTTTGCACTCGCCGTGCTCCTCCCCTGGCCCGCCGCGCTGGTGGGCGGCGTCTTGTCCTTGGCCCCGGCCTTCCAAGGCACCACCACGCTCCCGCCGTCCAGCACCTCGGTCACCTGGCACCCCGCCAGTGAAGGATCACTGGGAGGGACAAGAGGAGATGCGAGGGGGAGGAGGAGGGAGGAGGAGGAGGGAGGAGGAGGAGGACGACGAGGATGACGAGGAGGAGGAGGAGGTGTAAGAGAGAGGGGGGGGGAAACGAGGAGGAGGAGGACGACGATGAGGAGGAGGAGAGGGGATGAGGGAAGAGAAGGAAAGAGGAGGAGAGAGGAAGAGAGAGAAGGCGGAAGAGGACGAGCGGAGGGGGGAAGTGCGGAAAAGGAGAAGGAAATGAAAAAGGATGAGGCGGAAGGGGAGGCGGAGGAGTTCCATTCCATCCTATGCCTTGGCGTGGTGACCTGCTGCTGGGCGGGGCGCGCTGACACCACATTTTCTGCCTCGGGGAAGCCGCCTGGCGGGAGGTCCGTTCGAGACGACAACAAAACATCTTTCCACGCGGGAGAGGGGACCTCGCAAGGCCTACTTGAACTTTTGCGGAATACCAGCGCAATGAGATCAACAAATGTCACAAAACAACACATTTCGGTAGACAACCAATATGTGTGTGGAGGGCGGCAGAACTCGGCAAACGGATGATGCATCGCTCCCCTACCTCCTAACTCGGACGGACAAGATTATCCCGACGCGGGTCGGGCCAGGTGCCCGACAACGGAAGGGCATGAACTCTCGTTCCCAACTCGTTTCGGAGCTTGCAAAGGGAAGGCCAGAACTGAGACAAGTCGCTTCTCCTGCTTCAAATCCTGGAGCAAACTGTGCATTTGAACACGGATGCAATCACCAAGACATCGTGGTGAACGTCATTGTCGGCACCAAGCTGCATTTCTTCCATCTGGCTCGGAAGTGTCGTGTGTGGTCGAGCTTCTTAGCATGCTCGCGTTGCGAAGTACCAACGATGTCCCTCTGCACAACAAGAAGGCGCGACAAAACCTTGAACGCCCGCCCAAAAGCCTCAAACGTGGCTTGGGCTTGCCCATCGGGCGCACGACCAGCATCGGCAGCTCCCACAGCGAAGTAACCGACAGCTTTCTTCAAATCGGCATCAGACAGCAGAGCAGACAAGGTTCTGCTGTGTACGAGGCCACAAAGAAAAACTCTATGCATGTGAGGCGGAACTTCGACAGGTCCCGGTCAGGGAGCCGTTGCAAGAGAACTGGCCACGACAGATCGAGGCCATGGCCCACGGCGGTGAGAAAGAGCAGCCGGCTTGCAAAGCTTCCACACACTTCGCTGAAACACCCCTTGAGAAATAGACACCTTCAAACTGTCAGTGCAGTTGTTTTCAGCAAAGACCGCGCGGCAGTCCAACTGCGGTGCGTCCCAGGGCCCTAGGACTAGGGCCAAAACAGCGGCTGGCAGCGTGCATGCCACAAAACAAGACAAGCGTGTACAACACACACGCATGGTGACACGGACGGCAGAGGGGCAGGGGAGTGCACTCTTCACACTGGGTGAGTACAATGCTGCCCCGATGCCGCTCCCTCTAAAAGGGAAGCGCTGCACGCGATTATAATGTATATCGGCCGACGGGCCGAAACGCCTCAAGCCGATGCGGGCTGAGGCTCGAAATATAGATATGAATGTCTAGATTCTCCAATCCAGACTATCAACTCAAAGATATACATGTAACACCTCAAGCAAAGTGCGGCCTGAGGCTAAAGTATAAATACAAGAATATGAATATCTGGATCCACTACTCCAGACGATTAACTCAAAAGATATGCATGAGACACCTCAAGCAAAGTGCGGCCTGAGGCTCAAATAAAATACAAGAATATGAATGTCTGGATCCACTACTCCAGACGATTAACTCAAAGATATGCATACATCACCGTAGCCCTCACTAGGTCCATCAGCAGCTGCAATCAGGACCTCATGGGCTCGCAGGCCCTGGAACAGCGACCCGACGCTGGGCCTTCCGCTCCTTGGCTCGCTCACGCTGTCCGCGGCGCAGCCGCAGACGGTGTGCCTCCTCATCCTCTTGCTCAGCAGTAGGCACCATGCTGAACAGGCCGTGGCGGAGGAACTGCGACAGTACCTCGTTAGGCTGCACGGCTTTTGTCAACACATCCGCTAGCATGTGACTGTTAGGCAGCCACTTGAACTTGATGGCCTCCTGCTCTATCAAATCCTTGGCCACCAGCAAGTCAATGAGGGTCTGCCGAGACACCGGCATCGACCCGATCTTGGACGTGTGATCGTAGAGCGACTTCGCATCCGTCACGAGCGCCCCTGGAACCTTCAGCGCCAGCCTCCAGTCCCCTTGCAAGGGCGGCTCCCCGTACAAGATCGCCTCAATCAGCAGCCTGAGGTAGAGCTGCCGATCCAAAGCCACGGACATAGCCGCAGATTCTGCGGCCATCGTAGATCCAACAACTCGTGTAATAGTACTGCTCTGAAACTCCACTAGACAGCATACTGTCAGCTCCTTCAAAACTCGGGTGTCCGTAATCATATTCATGAACCCCATCTGGCTCTTACAGCCAGGTTCCTTCGCAAACGAAGCGTCCATAAGCGCGAGCACCTGCAAGCGCTCGATGTCCACACGGCGGATCCGGAGAGTCGCAAGACCTCTCTTGTCGTAGTCCTGGAGCCGGTCGATGATGTCATTGAGCTCTCGCAGGTGCAGCAACCTCCGACCTTTCGGATCCTTCTGTGCGAGCGCCGAGACACTATACGCGAGTTGCGGCACCACGCGTGCGACAGGCCACCGCACCTTCTGGAGCAAGCTCCGGTAGTCGTGGTGCTCCTCGGGATTCATCTCCCGCTCCTCGTTGCCACCCCTTGCAAGGGGGTGCTTCGTCAGCTTGCCGATGTACTCGTGCATGCTGATCTCGATGTGATCATGGTGGCGCCACCACTCCTCACCGAGATAGGCGATTGCCTCCTTGTCGTTGCCCTTCTTCCAGTGCTTGATGTTGAAACGACTGTTGATGTTCGCCTTCACCTCCTGGTACTGGGGATCGTGTGGGTCCCCAAACAGCATGCCGTCATCGACGTGCAAGGTCAACATAGCGATCAACTTGTCTTTCATACGATAAACGAAGACAGCTCGAGCACAGCGCAGCTCCACGAAACCGACTTCGTCCGTCAACACCTGGCGGGCTCGGAGATACCACAACCGAGGCGCCTCAGTCAGACCGTGCGCCCCTTTCAGCAAGCGCAGCAACGCATAAGGCCGCACGGCTGGCCATCCAGCACCGTCGACGGCTGGAAGCCCGTCCTTAGGTGCCCTCACATACAGCTCCCGTTCCAACTTCAGCCCGGACAGGAACGCAGTCGCTACGTCGAAGCATTCGAATGTCCAATCCATCGCCATTGTGATAGACGCACACACCAGCACAGCCAAAGGGGAAGTCGTAGGCGAATCCGTCCTGAATAGACCAAGCTGCGGATCGAGATGGCCAGGAATGATCAAGCGAGACTTCGCCTCCAGTTCCGGCCCTCGTCCCCGGTTCGTGCGAACCGAACGCATGGGCACCGAGATGATCTTGTCCTTCGGGATGCTCTTCTCCTCCTCCTCGGTGACCAGCTCGACCGTGTTGTTGGCGATCCATTGCCGCCGCTCGGCGGCATCGGCCTCGTCGAACTTAGCCTTCTCGTGCTGGTTGAAGTGACGTGGGTCTAGCTCCTTCGCGTTCTGCTTCATCACGAGTGCGAACACGTCGTGCTCGTACCTGGCCTCCTGCAGCCATGTGTCATACACAGATGACACGTTGATCCATTCTTCGTAAGTCATCGGCTGTCGTACAAGCCCTTCCGGAGTGTCCAAATAGTACACCCCTTGTACATAAGCGTCCGGCTTGTCGTGGTAGAAAAGCGTGAGACCAACCCAGCTGTCCTCCGTGCGCTCGTTGGTACGGTTCGCGCCGTCGTCCTTGTAGGCACACTGGCCCATAGCGGAGAGCATCACCGAGAGGCGATTGCACTCCCGGTGGCGGTCGTGATCATAGAGTCTCCGCCGTGGCTCTTGGTGTACACGTATTCCTCGTACGACCTTCTGAACGAGCGTGGAGACACCATCCAAGGCATTCTGGTCGAACCACTCCTGAATCCCCGAATGCACAACAGCGTTCATGGCCACCTCGCGGAGGGCCGGCAAACCACTCGTAGGAGCAGCCTGCAAACGCGTCTTCTTGATGCACATCGGCACGTCATCTACCAGGAACTTCCGTTTTCGCTCAAGCTCGAAATCGTCTCTGGGAATCGGCGGCACCGAAGGGCCGCCAGAGCCCGATGCTCCCGGAGAGGCCTTCGGGTACACCTCAGAGGATATCCGCCCTGGAGGGGAACGAGAACGTTCCCTCTTCGGAGGGGGAAGCTGCGGCAGCTGCTGCTGCTCAGGCGGCTCCTCCTCCCTGGCCTGTGCCTCAACGGCGTCCAGGGCCCTCAGGTCCACACGAGGCTGCCTGGACCCCTCGAGCTCCCCATGTCGGTCACGCTCCTTCTTCAAGAACGTCTTCTTCACCTTCTGAACCTTCACCTTGGGCGTGACGTCCACGATGTCGTGGTAAGCGCGGTCATCTCGCTGCTGTGTCAGTCGCACGTCCGTCTGGATGGACTCCGCAGCTGCGGCCTCCTGGGAGGAGGCGTGCCGGAGCTGCTCACGAGCAACAAGTAGCACGTGACCACGCCAGGATACGTAGTAACGGCTGTTGGACTCCTTCGCGATCACAGTCGCAGGACCCCGCCATCTTTCAGGATCTTGCCGACGACGTCCCTTGAACGGATTCGGTGCCCAGAAATACACCCTCGATCCTGGGCACAGATCACCGACGACCGTCGGCGCCTGTCGTAGCAACGCCCTCCGCACCTTGTCCGTCGCGTCGCGCTCCAGCAACATCATCTTTGCTGCGGTGCGGATTTGGGACGAACGCCAAGCTATGCCCTTGGCGCCGAGGACCGACATGAGAACCTCATCGTCGTCCCTGTTAGTCACCTCCGTAAAGTTCAAGATCCGCCCGAAGACAGCCTGCTCCGGGGTCAATCCATTGCGGCT